TTTATTGGGAGTTGACTTCTCCAAAAAATATTTTTACTAACAGCGTGCAACTGTGATGGACTGTGTACAAAGTAATACGGTGTCAGAATGTTATATATTTATACTTCTCATCCAACCACAATTAAATTCACTCTATCCAGGAGACACAGGATAGTCTTTTTTTTAAGTAATAACAACTCGGAATAAAACAGGAGTAACAACTTTCTACTTCTTACCCTTTTTAAAAAATGTAGTGAGTAGAAAGTACAGATAATTGTGTAAAAATGTAATGAGTAAAAGTAAAAAGTACGCTGAAAAATAATTACTCAGGTAAAGTACAGATAAACAAAATKTCTACTTAAGTACAGTAACAAAGTATTTGTACTTAGTTACTTTACAACTCYGGTCAGTCACATGTTCCGATAGTTTTGCTCACTTGACAAAYTGATGGGTGATTTGTTCAGAGTTGTTTAACATCTAAATACCAGAAAATAAAAGCTGACATGAACTCTTGTCTCATCTTCTGATTTTAAAATCAAATGTCTTCAGTGAACAACAAAAACAAGAGAATTTGACTTGTTCCAGTACTTTTAGAGGGGACTGTCTGGTCTTCAGTACCCGTGTTTCTCAGTACACATGTTCCACAGTATCTATGTTTTTTGGTAGATGTTTATCATTTCCTATGTTCCCCAATGTCCAGGATGATTTCCTTGGTCTTGTTTGTGTTTAATTTTAAGTTGTTGTCACACTGTTCTGTCAAGTGCTGGACCTCCTCCATGTCGGCTGATCCCACGTGCTACAACTGTGGTATCATCAGCAAACTTGGCAATGATGTTAGTGGAGTGAACCAGCCATGTGGGCACAGCTAACCAAAATTCTGTTACTTACAAATACAGGTAACACTAACAGCTAGTTGCTAACCTAAGATGACTGTCTCTCAGTCTGCATCACGTCTTCGTCTCCTTCCAGCTGCAGACTGGTGGGACTGACACAAACCTGTTGATGTTAGCTTGTTAGTTAGCTGTTAGTGGACTTACAGTTGGAAAAACCTAATTTAGCAGAAGGTTACTGGTCTCCTAACAGTTTTCAGAACTAAACAAAATGTAATGTAATGTAATGTAATGTAATGTAATGTAGCTGATGAACTATGCCCACCACTACTGAAGACAGAGTTTAGGAGGGGGCTGATGACACACTCCACTGGAATATTACTTTAAACACAAAGTGACTGAACACAAACACAATTCTTATAAATTCACTACATTATTCTTGTATCAGTGTAAGTTTTAAAGTTGACAAAATGTGCTACAATGTTTAGTGTWCTCTTTCATGTATTCCTGTGTTGTGTGTACATTATACCCATGTCGGTATATACTGTATATGTTTTCATATTTCTATTTTTGTACACAAACATCTGTGTTTATAGCACAGTGAGCAATTTAAACAGTTGTTTTTTTTTCTACATGGACAAAATTAATACACATTTATCATATTCAAAAGTAAAATAAATGATTTTCAATCAATTCAGTGTATTGTGATTTTATGAAAATAAAATTGTTTCATTAATCCACAGCTCACTGATCAGTGTATCAAAAAGATAAAAACCATTTTAGATAAGTTGAAATCACAGACTTAAATAACCCTAGACTGAGCCCTCCCTATCCCGTCCACTAGCATCTGTAACAACATGGAGGAATAAAAACTGCGACTGCAGCAAGTCCAGCTGGATCTGTGTCATAAATTATCTGTAATATTTATACAATAAATTAATAATTATGTTCATTTCATTCAGCAGTCATGTAAAACAGCAGCTATAGACCAGAAAATATACAATTTATAAATTATGATCTAAACCAGACCTGAGGTCAGTCAGTAACTTAGACTTTAGCTAGTTGAAAAATTATTATTTCAACTAGTAAAGTATATTTATTAGCTCTTACAAATAATATTAATAATAAATAATTACCAATTGACACTTGTAAAATGTTCTCTGCATACATATAGGATGAAACTAAAATAGTTAAATATTTAATATTATTTTAAATTGTGTAAATAT